CACCAAACTAAACTTGGACTAACTTGTTGTACTATGTCTGAACAGTGTCTAGTTTGAGGCACTAAAAAGGTTTGAAAAGTCTGAAAAGAACCTGTTAGAGCAACATGAATTCTTCTAAAATTGAAGAACAGGAAAATGCTGGTGAAGCCTAGGAGGAAGAATGGTGAAATCACTGATGCTTTATGAAAAGTTTATGGGGACAGGGTCCCAAAGAAACCAGCAGTTAAATAAAAGGTAATTCATTTTAGAAAAGGATGAGAAGATGTTGAAGATGAAGCCTGCAACCACCCTCATCAATCTGCAGTGAAAAAAATGCATCTTGTTTGTGAATTTTAGAGGATGGACAACATAGAAACAACAGCTCATACCACAGACATCTCAAAACTGAAAAATTAAGTTGAGCAAAGTTTCCGCTTGATCGATACCAAAATTGCTGTGCCTAGATCAACTCCAGACAAGAGGAGAACTTGCAGTGGAAATTTTAAACAAGTGGGCTCAAGATCCTGAAGCATTTTCTCAAAGAAGTGTGACAGGAGATGAAACGTGGCTTTCCCAGTACAATCCTGAAGACAAAGTGCAAACAATGGCTACCAAGCAGAGGAAGTGATCCAGTCAAAGCAAAGGCAGACCAATCAAAGACATGGCATTTGGCTTGTTGACTTTCTGGAAAGCCATCGAACAATAAGACCTCTGCGTATCACGATAGTGTGTTGAGAAAGTTAACCAAAGCTTTAGCAGAAAAACACTTGGGAAAGCTTCTCCAGAGACTTCCTCTCCACCATAACAATGCTCATTCCTTGCATCATACACGGGCAATCTTGTAAGAGTTTCGATGGGAAATCATTAAGCATCCACCTTACGATCCTCATATGGCTCCTTCTGCATCTTTTTGTTTCCTAATCTTAAAAAAAATCTTTAAAGGATACCAATTTTTTTCAGTTAATAATACAGAGGAAGAAGAAGAGGCAAGAATGACCCCGTGGCCGACCACAGCCTGCACGCTGCTCTATCCCCACATCCAACGCCTTAGTTACCCCACCGTCACCACCATGCCCAAGAGAAAGGCTGAAGGGGATGCAAAACCAGATAAAGTCAGGGTGAAGGAGAAACCACAGAGAAGATCTGCAAGGTTGTCTGCTAAACCTTCTCCTCCAAAGCCAGAGCTCAAGCCTAAGAAGGTCCCAGCTAAGAAGGGAGAGAAGGGTACACCAAAGGAAAAAATGGAAAAGTCAATGCTGGCAAGGAGGTGAATAACCCTGCAGAAAATGAAGATGCCAAAACAGACCAGGCACAGGAGATGCCAAGTGAAGTGTGTGCATTTTTGATAACTGTGTACTTCTGGTGACTGTGCAGTTTGAAATACTATTTTTTATCAAGTTAAAAAAATAATGTAAAAAAGACTGTATTGACATGGTTAAATTCCTAGGCCCTTTTGTTCTTTAGGGATGCACTAAACTGCTGGTAACATCATGTTGTACAAAAGTGTCTTGAACTTGATAGAGCTGAGAAAGTTTAGATTTCTCGTTTTCATATTTTAGTTCCACTTTTCCATGACTCTTTAAAAACTGCTCGTATTCACACTGGTGTCCCACCATTACCACCATGCATCGTCAGCGATTTTTCATTTTCCCAACAGAAAACCTATATCCAAGAATACTTGAAAAGACTGTCCCCTACCCTCAGACTCTGGCAACCATCATTCTACTTTCTATCTCAATACATTTTGCCACTTCAGGCACTTCTCATGAGTGGACTCACACAATAGTTGCACTGTGGGGGTTTGGCTTATTTCAATGTAGCATGTCCTTAAGATTCATCCATGTTGTAGCACGTGTCAGAATTTCATGGTGTTTTATGTAGCAACTTATAAAATAATTCTTATACTCTTACTGTATCAATCAACAGATGTAAAGTGAAGGTTTTCTGCTCTCTTCTGGAGCTGACAAGCTGGAAAAATATATTCTTCAAGAGCAAGACTCTATCCATTCTAGACAGGTCTGTATTGCCAACACCAGTACAACGCCTAATCAATACATATGTGTAAAAAGAGCAAATGACAAATACAGGAAACAATCAAGTGTCCATAATGCTTTCCATTCCATGCACCTGGTCATTATGAGCCATATTGCGATAGAGACTTTCTGGAGACAGGTTTCTCTGAACGTCAAGCCTCAGCTACCATGCGTGAACTTAAAGGAAGAGTTGAATAAGGTCCAGGAAAGAATAGTAAAGACAAAAGGAAGCTTAGGAGAACGGTTTAGCAAATACTTCTGTATTTTCTTAATCATGAATTAGTAGTCAACAATTCATTTCTGAAATACTTGTTTTTTTGTTTTTGAGTTGGAGTTTAAAGCTGTCGCCCAGGCTGGAGTGCAGTGGCACTCTCACGGTCACCCCAGAGTCGACCTGCAGGGCTCCAGCGATCCTTCTGCCTCAGCCTTCCAAGTAGCCAGAACTACAGGCATGTGTTACCATGCCCAGCTAAATTTTTTATTTATTGTAGAGACGAGGTCTCGCCAAGTTTCCCGGGCAGGTCTCGAACTCGCAGGCTCAGGCAATCCACTTGCCTCGCCTCCCAAAGTGCTGGGATTAAAGGCTGAGCCACTGAGCCTGGCCATTTCTGAAATACTTATACAAAATGTTTGATGTAGCCTACCGAATTAGCATAGTACCGAATTAGCATAGTAAATATCTAATTTAACCATCTATCTTCATCGAGAATAAAAAACCATCACAGAATTCTGTAGTTTGGCTAACACACCATACTGCCCAGCAATCTACTAACTGGCATTCTTAGAATTCTAAGTTGTCATTTTATCTTTGGCATATAAGCAATTTTCTTATTTTGTTTAATGATGTTGGGGCATATGGTGCAGCTAAAAGCAAAGCAATGGGTTTTACAATGCTCTAAATTAGAGATAAAGTAAAACTGCTACTAAGAAAGTTTTCAGGGTCCAAGGATGTATCTCTGGATATTTGGGACGGAAGGCATAAAGACAGCTAGTGCGAGGTAAGACCAGACAGCTCAGGTGGTTTTTGTGTGAAGGGCAGTACTTTCTTGTGTAGGTGAGGAATAGGATAGAATGCTGGAAATCCTTTAGCGAATTCTGCAAATTTCAAGGAAAGGGAAACATTCAACTTTTGTATAACTGAAAATGTATATTAAGGAGTAAGGTAACCAGATTTCAAAACAATGGCAATAAGAGCAATTACTGTGCATTATTCTGTACCAGGCACTTGGCTAAGTACTTTCTATTTACTGATTCATTTAATTCTTAGAACAATCCTTTAAGGGAGCTATTATTATGATACTGTCTTAATAATTAAGAAAAGGAGACAGAAGTTAAATATGAAGTTCCAGGACAAAATCCAGGTTTAAGAAGAAAAGTCATGTAAAGTTTGCCCCAATAATGGCTTTCAATACTACACTTATGATTCAATAAAACAGAAGCAAGCAGGAGAAACACACCATACTCAGACCAGGTTTGGGCCTTTTGGATCAGATGCCACGAGATGTTGTAAAAGTTACCCAGAAGAAAGTGTATACATAGTCCCAGATTTCAGAATGTCAAACATGTCAAAATTTCAAATGTATTACACATGGTTCAGTGATGCTGTGCTTTATAAAAGCACTGAGGCAGGATGGAGGGTGGTATCTGAGTTAGTCAAAGCCAGAACTCTTCCCTAGAAGGAACTCAGATGCTTACAATCTAACTTAAGGGTAGATGAGTTAAATAAGGAACAAAGGAGGAGAGAAAAGTTCTAACTCAGGCCAAGATGGAAGGAGTTACCCCAAGATCACCCAATGGGGTGTCACCATTTGGAAGCTCTGAAACCCCAGCCTGAGAATGACCCAAGATAAGTGGCCCGAGCAGGGAGGAGGGAAACAGATGAGTTATATCAGGATTCATTATTGCAAGGAGAATCACAGAGCAGGAAGTGCCTATTCCCATTTCACGACTGTTCTCCACTCTGGGACTTGTACCAAAAGGGAGCCCTCCCTTTCCAGCATGCAACCTCTGCAGCCACTGGAAGGACACCAACCAAAGATAATGTTTTTCTTGCCATGAGGAGAAACGCCAGAATACTGTAGGCTAAATAAAAATACCATCCCCCCATCCTGCCTCAGTGCTTTTATAAAGTGCAGCGGCACTGAAGCATATGTGTAACTACATTTGAAATTTTGACATGCATGACATTCTGAAATCTGGGGCTATGTATTCTACTTTCTTCTGGATAACTTTTACAACAGCTCTTCAAATTGGTGCCTTAAAAATAGAGGTCAGCTGGGCTCGGTGGCTCAGCCTGTAATCCCGCGCCTTTGGGAGGTTGAGGTGAGTGGATTGCCTGAGCCCGCGGGTTCGAGACCCGCCTGGGCAGCGAGACCTCATCT